GAAGTTGGCTAGGTCATTGGTGAGAAACAGAAGAAATGGAAATGTTGAGAAGCAAGCCAACAATAGCTTGCATCAAACATTTAATGAATGGCAATGACACAATTACATGCTAGCAACACCAAGTCCCAACAGCTGCCTAATTAAAACTGGACTCAAACAAGGCAGGGAAAATAACTTGATTTGGATGCTATTTGCCTTGGTAATTTGGTGCCGGGTTGTGCATTCTTATTTTTTTTTTCCATTCGGGGCTGAATGTTTATAAAAAACTTAATTAAGTTGGAAGGGAGAGATTGATATAAGTCTTTGCCTTAATGGACTCTCTTCCCGTGGGATATTAAGGAACTTGCATATGCTGAAGGACATAATGGAATTGGAGGGGGAGAGGGAAAGGGAAGAGGCAAGCCACCTCTGATTGTTTTGCAGATAGATAGCTGTTTATTTTCTATTTTTTCTCAGCAAAAATTCCAAATCTCAAAATTGGACTCCAAGAAAGCTATTTATAAGCTGTCAAGAGAGGCCAGCATTTCACTATTAAATGGATAGCAAATGCAATTCGAACTTTCTTCTAAAGTGGCAGATAAACAGGACTGGAGAGGAACAGAAATGTTCGGGGACAGGAGGCCAGGGAGAGAGGTATGAAAAGCTGCCAGGTGCACCTTATTATAAAGAAGAGTAGGCATTAAGCTGGCACAAAAGGGAATCCGCCAGGAATGGTTGTCCCCTGAAGAGGTAATATCTGAGGAAAAGCCATAGTGAGTAATGGAGAAGGAATTGATTCAGAATATTTCAGCCTAGTAGAATTCAGCCTATATAAATTACATCAGAGCATCATCTTGCTTTATTCCCTACCTTACCCCACCCTTCAAAACCCTCTGCTCATTGGTTGTATTAACACATTATACCAGGCCAGTCATTATGTTAACCATGGTTTGTTAAGTAAACTATAATAGTTCTGTTCGTACCAGCCCTAGGCCATAACTATTGCTTACCAAACATAATAACTAAGATCACTCATCCTAAGAAACCAAATAATCTATATCCGTGCTTAGCATGAGGTATGAACCAGGTCGCTGTTTTGAAAAAAAAGTTAAAATAATCAGGTTAGGGAAGTTTTAAGGAAGGGGGACATTTGTGACACTTAAGACGTTAGGATGTGCTTCTAAACAGAGAGACTCCTATAAGGCAGCTTACCAGAACTGGGAAATGGGTATATAAAATTGATCAGAGGGCTTTAAAGTCAACCCTGAATGGAAGAAAGCTTGGGTAATAATGCAATACTAAACATGGTAAATAGATCTGAGAAAAAATGTGCAAGATGCATGTAATAATGAGCATGTCATACAGGAAAGATTTGGTGAAATTACAGCACATGATCCATACAAGTGCATAGAATGTGGGAACAAAAAGAACCTGGACTGATCCCTGCAGTTTTCTTGGCAAGGTATTTCAGAAGTGGTTTGCCATTTATTTATTTATTTATTTATTTATTGGTTCGATTTATATGCCGCCCTTCTCTGGAGACTCAGGGCGGCTTACAATGCGTTAAGCAATAGCCTTCATACTTTTGTATATTTATACAAAGTCAGCTTATTGCTCCCACAAACTGGGTCCTCATTTTACCTACCTCGGAAGGATGGAAGGCTGAGTCAACCTTGAGCCTGGTGAGATTTGAACTTGCAGTAATTGCAGGCAGCTGGTGCTATTTAACAGCACTTTAGTCTGCTGCGCCACCAAGGCTCTCCTTCCTAGGGCTGAGAGTGAATGACTAAGGCAGGACTAGAACACATGTTCCTTCTCACCTATGCCTTAACCAATGCATTCTCTTCTGGCTCTTATCTTAACATAGGAAGGTGAATATGACTTGGTAAGCCTTATGAAACCAAGTAAGATGAAACCTGGGTGGGGTGCAAGACCTGAAGGGCATATCGACTAGACAGAAAAAAGGGAGGAGAGGGAAGAAATGTGATTATATATGAAGGAAGAGCACACCTAGATTATCTTCATTTACAACCACAATTCTTTTCCCTCCTCCCTTTTCTAGGAATCTGAGATGATTCCTAGTTTTCAACCAAGATGTCAACCAAGATCATTTGATCAAGAATGGAAATTAGGGGCAACAGCAAGATAACAGTGGGTACTATTAAGCTGCCAAACCAGGCAGAAATTTTGAATAATGCATCTCTGGATGAGATTACAAAACTTCTACAAGACAGGAGAAACATTTTGATAATGTTGTATTGTTAGTTATAGTAAGTTAGTTACAGTCAGTTATCTCTCGGAAAACCAATTTGGCAAAGGCTGCAACAGTCAGCAACACCACTGGAAAAACTCTTTAGTGCCTTTGCTGACTTTCATTTTCCATAAGGTTAAAAAAGAAACCAGAGGAGTTCTAAATCTAATTCAAATAATTATGAAAGAACTAGCAGAGGAGATAAAAGCTGGGAGAACCTAGGGAGAAAGCAGTCACATTATCATAGGGTTCTAGTTACTGGTGAAAAAGAAATTGGAGCACAGCCAAGCATGTACATTACATTTCAATAAAGTCAATGTTAAGTTTAGATAACTGCTAGGTGGGATTTCATGAACAAAAATTCTTAGGTCAGAGTGGGAATTTTTAAACTACAAGATAAAATGTCCTACTATTCCAGTGATAAAAAGCAGGGATATTACTGAGGATGCAGAGGAACCTTTAGATGAACATTGAGTTAAAAGGGGCATATAAAGGAAGAAGGAGATGGATGTAATCAACAAGAAAGCAATCAGCAAGTAGCTAATATTTGCAAAAGGAAAATCAGGCTGAAACATAAATTGAACTGAGGCTCACAGTGGAAGCTTAAAACATCATACAAGGGCCTTTCTGGCTATGCAGATGATAAAAGGAGAACAAAGAAGGGGCCAGCCCACTTCTAAGAAAAGAGTAGAACCAAAACAGATGACAGGAAGAAGATGGAACTCTTCAAGATCAACTTTCCACACACAAGGAAGTGGTGAGGGAACATCTGGCTACAATGAATGAGTTTAAGTATCCTAGACCAAACCAACTATATCTGAGAGCTTTGGAAGAACTTATAAATGTCATCTTGGAGCTTCTTTCTGAGATCTTGGAAAAATCTTGGAGGATGGCCCCAGTGCTAGAGAATTGGAGAAAGTTAATGTTGTTTCTGTCTTTAAAAAGAAGATTAAAAAAAAACCAAATATGTCTGTTCAGTATTGATACTAGGCAAAATCCTGGAACAGATTTATTAGGAAATTGGTTTCTGAACATTTAGAAAAGCAGTCCATTGCTTGGTAGGAGCCAATATGACATGGGTGTCAAACTGGATTGCATCACGGGCCAGATAGTGATGTACTGTGATGTTTTTTGCCTTTGCAGAGCTAGGGTGGGTGTGGCCTGTGTGTGACATATCTGGCCCAAGGACTGCCAGTTTTTAATAGGCCTGCAATAGGAGGTTATCAAGAACAAAGTTAAATGAATCTTCCTTTTCAATAAAATGACTGATTAGGTTGTCAATGGAAATGTGTGAACAAAATGTACATTGACTTACAGAAAGTATTCAACAAAGTCTCACATGACATATTGGTAGAGAAGATGATGACAAAATATGGGTGGGACAATCATATCACAAGATGGATATAGAGATTGCTGAATAATTAGGCTAAATGAATGTCTGTTGATGGCTCCACATTAAGCTGTAAACAAGTTTTGAATGGTGTACTGCAAGACCTAATTCTAGGCTCTATGCTGATTAATTTATTTATAAATAAAGTGTATCCAGGATTAGAAAACAGAATTATCAAATTTGCCAAAGAAAAATTGCAAATACATCAGAAGATAGTAGCAAGGTTCAATAAGATCATTACAAACTAGATATCTGCAAGAAGAATTCCAATAGAAAGAAAGTCCTATACTGGAGTAGGAAAATGAGAGGCATGAATATCAAATGGCAAGCATGGGGGTAACCAAACTGGACTATATTACATGTGAAATATGTAATATAGGTGTTTTAATGGAACAGAAACTGAACATGGCTTAATAGTGTGATGCAGCTGAGTGTGATCCACTCCAATCAGAAGAAGTATAGCATCAAGTGGAAGAGAAGACATAATTCCTCTCTATTCAACTGTCTAGATGAAGACCATACATAGACTCTTGCATCCATTTATAGGACTACATTGACAAATTGTATCATGTCCAAGAAGAAGACAAGGATCTTGGAAGGAAAAACTATGAAGAACAATTGGAGATGTTTGTTTTGTTTAATACACAGAAGAGAAGACTGTTGGAAGACATTACAACTGTATTCAAGTCTCTGAAATACCAACAAATAAAAGAGAGGCGATAATTGTTTAGTGCTGTTGCAAAATACAGAATAAGAAAGAATGAGTTCAAATTAGAATGATGAAGATTCAGGTGAACATGAGAACAAACTGCCTGAGAAGGTAGTAGACACTTTTTTTGCTGGGGGTGTTCAAACAAAAGTTGCATGCTCCTCTGTAAGAGATGTTGTAGTAATGGATTCTTTAGTGAGCAGAGGGTTAAAGCAGATTACCTCCAAGGTACCTTCCAACCCTTACATTCCATGTTTTTATACTATTCTAATCTGTGACATCCAAAAGTCTTGGTATCTGTTATAAAAGCTACATATGAATAAGCACATTATTTGGTAACTCAGATGAAAAATCAAATCATCAACTGCCACCAGAAAAACTATAGCAATTGTTGCTGCATTTGCCCTAGAATGATAAAAATGCATTTATTAATGGAACATTTCCTGATATTGCTTGACATTGTACTTATAATTTTGTTATTAAACTGTAACATGGATGTATTTGCCTTTGGGTAATGCAATAAATTAATCTTCAGTACAATTTGTAGACTAAGTTGAGCATAACATTGGCATATAAAGGAGTACATTTACTTCTCATCACTTTAAAATATAGTGTTTTGAACAAGCCTGTATGGGATTCTGAGGGATGTTTTCTTCTTTTGTTTAATGCAGGACTTCCTGGAAACTGTTGACCGAGATGCTTCAATATATACATGAAATCATAGTATCATAGGCCTGCAAGGGAATTTGGAGGTCTTCAAGTCCAACCCCCTGCACGCAGCAGGATCCTCATACCATCTCGAGCAAATAGTTGTCAAACCTTTTCTTGAAAACCTACAGTGATGGAGCACCCACAGTTCTGGGAGGCAAGCTGTTCCATTTTTACTATCAGGAAATTCTTCCTTATTTCTTTGTTGGATCTTTCTCTAATGAGGTTCCACTCATTGCTTCTTGCCCTAACCTTAGGTGCTATGGAGAATAAATCAATGCCCTTTTCTCTGTGGCGGCCCTTCAAGTATTGGAATATTGCTATCATGTCTCTCCTTCAATCTTCTCTTCATTAAGCTAAATATTCCTAATTCCATTAGCTAATTTCTTTATTGCTCTTCTCTGCATTCTTTCTAGGGCCTTAGCATCAGTGGTGGGTTGCCCCCGTTTTGGACCGGTTTGCAAGAACCAGTAGTAAAACTGGTGGGAGGCTCTGCCCACTGACCTGGATGTCATCATAGGAGATCTGCGCATGTGTGCGGGCATGATGTGAACCGGTAGTAAAGGTAAATAGAACCCACCTCTGCTTAGCATCTCTTTTTTTTAAAATTGTGGTGACCAGAACTGGATGTAGTATTCTAAGTGAGGCCTCACCAATAGCGAAGTGCAATATAAAGTAGTACTATCATTTTTCTTAATCTTGATACAATTGCTCTGCTGGGATACATGGAACAGTATAAAAACTGGGGGGGTATTTGGAGACTGAATGAGTTATATTGCATAGCACCATCCTATATAGTAAATCCAGCTGGGTTCTATGGAACTTACACCGTTCTATGGCTCTACTTCTTAGATCTCTGGGAAGCTGTTCGGAGTGAGGGATATGAAGGGCAAATTGCAATTCCCATCCGTTCACAATTGGACAGGTGGATTTGATTGTTCTCCATCATCTGGAGAACAACCAGATCTTCAGTATATTAAGGATTTCTCCTGTGCAAGCCAAGAAGGTCTCTTGGCAGAGAAGGAATTCTACCTCCAACAATGTTCTCATAGTGAAGATAGACACCTCCACTCTACCGCTGGTACTTTTGTGGTGTGTAAGCAGCTATGTCCCACCTATCTCTGGGGATTTCATACCTACCTGTTCCCCAAACAATCCTTTAGGGGGTGGTGCTCATCTCCATTTCAAAGCTGAAGAGCCAGCGCTGTCCGAAGACATCTCTGTGGTCATGTGGCCGGCATGACTCAATGCCAAAGGCGTACAGAATGCTGTTACCTTCCCTCCAAAAGTGGTCCCTATTTTTCTACTTGCACTTTTACATGCTTTTGAACTGCTAGGTTGGCAGAAGCTGGGACAAGTAATGGGAGCTCACTCTGTTATGCAGTTCTAGGAATTCGAACTGCCAAACGGCTGACCTTTCTGATCAATAAGCTCAGCATCTTAGCCACTGAGCCACCGCATCCCTTGTTAAATGTATACCACACCTTTAAGTTTATAGAAACATTGTAACAGAAGAAGAAAACTATTAAATACAAGGAAAGTAATTCATATTAATTGAACCAAACTTTAAAATGAACTACTTCCAATTTAGATTATGCATCTAGTCCCACCTATTTTGTAAGGGAGAAGAAAGGGGCCGCCATGCAAAAGCACAGTTCTTTTGAGTAAGAAATGGTAGAAGCTACACTGCTGATGTTTGGCTCTCCCAATTAGAGGATGTCTCTCCTAGGGAAGTAAATATTCCAGTGCTAATGATCAAAGAAAAAGGAGTAACTGCATATCTTAAAAGGGGGACTTAGATTTGCATATAACATGCAAATGGATATGTAGAGATGCAAATTTAGAAGTAATTACTGTAATTATAAATAGAAATAAAAATGTCTTGCCATTGTGGGGGAAATGTAGCCAGGGGATTTGGGTGATTGCTAGGTCTGCTGGCTGGAGTCTCATGGTTGGTGGGAAAACTTAGGGGCCTCTTCTCCTTTTTGATAGTTCTCATCAGAGGTGGCCAGATACTAGGAAGAGATTCTCTGCTAACTCTTGAAACATCTTTGATAATGGAGGAGAGTAAGCCAGGATCTTCGCAGTAAGAAATGCTGACAGCTGTCTTCAGAGACCAAGTATTGGACAGTAATGGCTCAGTGTTTCTCTTAGCATGAAACTTATGCTAGTTATACTAAACGGGCACTATAGCCTATCCCCGTGGAAGAGATAAAATGAAACTTTTACTGAGTGTTTTATGTTATTTCAGGAGATGATTGATGGATGGATGGTTGGACAGACAGGATAAAACAGATAGTATTCTCCCTTTTGGAATTCAGATCAGCTCATTAAATTCAGCACTGGGAGAAGTAGTCGGCAATTTCTAACTTCTCTAGTGTTTTTTTTTTCTTTTTAAGAAAGGGGTTGAACACACACACACAGAGTATATATGTATGTGGGTGGGTGGGTGGGTGGGTGGGTGGATGTGTACATGTGTGTATTTGTGTGAACTGGCAATAATATTGCTAAAAGAAAACAGTTTTGTGAAGGTTCTTCTCTATATCAGCTCATGCAAAGAATTTTTACAGAGATTCTGAGGATGTTGGGGCATTCAGACAGATCCCAAGCATCCTTCAGTAAAAATGCCCTTTATCTTCCCAGAAACATAATATTCCAAGTTATGTTCTTGGGAATTCTAGAATTCCTTGTGATCTTGTAATGTATTCTGGTAAGTTCTTGTCAAAGCATAAACCTGTAGCCTCTACTGTCAAAGAGTAACTCTTTATTTGGGTCGCAGTTCATCATTGTCATTTTCAAGGAGACTTCCTTGAGTTTCACACAGTCCTGGAGTCCTTTAGATATGTGGAAAATTTCAGATTCCTCAATCCACTAGGATGGAGTCAGTCATAACTAATTGTCAGACCTTCCAGAAAATAGAACTATTTTTCTCCCCAAGGAATTAGGCAGCTGGTAGGCTCCCTGAAAATTGAATATTCAGTATTGACTATTCAGCATTCAATATTTCTTGATAAAATATTAACCACCCTTTGACAAATTCCCCTCTAACCATGGCCTGTTTGTTTCTACTTTGAAAAGCTAAAACAAATAAGACTAACAGTGCACAGATTGGGTCTCCTGGGGTTTGCTTTCCAACAGGGATGGGATGTTAACTCTTTTATTCCAGAACACAGAAACCAAAAACATTATTTTGCTGTGCCTCACAACCAGCTTCATTTAAATCTTTCACTGATGGCTCCCGTAATTGTTTGGAGGAAAAGCTCCTTTCATGTCCTATTTAGTCAACCAAGGAAATGAAATATAGAGGATGAGGCTGAAACACTTTGTAACTGTAGTGTCTGATTAAACTACTTTGTATTATTATAGCTGTGGATCAAAGCATCATGCAAAGGAGGCCATTATTGATTTGGGTTGTCATCTGGGGAACTTTACGTTTGAAGTGTGATGTGCATTGAATGGAAGAAGTATCATTCATATGTTTGGTGGCATCTTTTGCAGCCCGAGTCCTTATCTGGTGTCCTTAGCAAAAGCTGAATCATTTTTGTATTGATTACTTAAGCCATTTGTCTCACCACATATATTCTTGGCATCTTTTAGTTCTGCATAAATTTGATCTCATCACATTTCACTTCTGTCCTCTATTCAACACTGCCCTTGCCAGCCATCTCTCTTTCAGCTTCTCTGGTTGTTATGTCCTCAATCTGCTCTAGAGTCACAAATGTGTAGTCTCTTCAGGAATCAGAGTCAAATTGCCAGCTAAGAACTGAAATGAAACACAGGCAGGCCAGTTTCCAGAGTGCTTGTAGTGTTTTTTTTCGAGCACCCAAGCTTTTAACCATCACATTTTTCTCAGGTCTCATGAAACGTGAGAGCAAAATACCAGTGCAAAGATCAAAAATACATTTTGGAACTTGCTGGGAAAATAGGTTATGTTGTGGGGCCAGGAATCAATTAGTAATAAACTCTGAGAATCTCTTTTAAAAGGAAAAAATACAGTGTTTTTAGACTTTTTTCAACCAGATTGTATTTTAAGTTCACGACTCCCCCACCCCCTTGAATTTCAAAAGTTGAGCTCCAAGAGAACATTTGGCAATTTTAGCTGTTTAATACAGGTGCAGAATCTACATATAGAGATCCTGAGTTGTTCAGCTGAAGTAAAACTTGCAAAAATTTACACTGAAGAAACTATCATTCATTAAAACTATTTAAATATATAATATGAATAAACTATTCTACATGGTCTCTGTTTTTTAAGCTGGAATTGAAGACAAGAAATTGTTTTCCAGATTTTAATGCCTTCCTTTATTTGGACCACAGTGATGGTCAGGTGCTGTGCCCAGATACTGTCCAGACACAGTTAACAAGGCTTCCAACTAGGTGGATTCCCTGATTATATTCCCCTCCCATCCATGCTAGGAATGGGCATGTCTTTTTAAGACTTCTGGGGGAAAAGAGACAATAAGTCTTTTGTTGATTTCCAGTTAAAAAGAGAAAAAAAACAAGGGCTTAATTTTTCACAGAAGGAAGGAAAGAAGTAAATAAGTAAGTAAGTAAGTAAGTAAGTAAGTAAGTAAGTAAGTAAGTAAGTAAGTAAGTTCTGGCCTTGGTTGTAGGGAGCTTTGCAACTCTGTAAAATGGCTGTTAAAGGCAGGGAGTGGAATCGGGAAGTGTGCCTGCCAGAGCATACATTAGGCAATTGGAATTGAGACATTTGTATAGGACATGCTTCAGATGGTCCAGACCACCCTGCTTGCCCAATTGGACAGAAGAAGACATTTCTTTCTAACACAGAACCAGAAAGTTAAAATAGCGGTTGCCCTCCCAGTGGGGTGAGAAAGATCTGAGACAAGGTAATCTGTTCCTCCCCTCATGAAATACTAGGTGGCAAGCAAGAAGTGTGAACTAGTTCCATCCCCATACACACAGCACAAATCCATCTTGCTTACCTGCAAACTTTGTGGTTGAACGGTCCAAATATCGTACTTCATCAAAATTCTTCACTGACTCTAGTTCCAAACAAGAAAACATTAACAAGCAAACA